CCTACGGGTTTCCTTGTCTTTGCCTCTGATTCTGCTCCTCCACTGGAGGAGGGGAGGTAAGCGAGCAGCTGCGTGGTACTTAATTGCTGGCTGGGATTAGACCCCAACAATACCTTTTAGCCAAAGGTCCTCTCCTAGACAGTCTGCAAAGGCACCTGCTCCTCTGTCTCCAACAAGCATGTTGCAGTTGAAAGTAATCCGCCTCAAGCCGGTCATATAGTCAAGGTCAGGTCTCCTATAACGTAGGCTTTCAGCCCAAGCTTCACCGTGTCTTTTCATTGCCTGGTGCTTTGTAAACAAAGCAGCTGTTACCAAGTGCAAAGGCACAGCCATTATTGATGACAAGATGATCACAAGTTATCTTTGTTTGTAACTGATGCTTAACGGCTTGAGTGATGATGTAAGAAACAGTTACACCATTTCTGAGTTGAAAAAATACAAGTCCTTTTAAAACTTACAGTTCAGTCGTTTGTTCTGATCATCCAATTTGCAACGCAAATTATTAAATAATTTCTACAAAACATCTTATTACCTTCTTTTGGCAGACAGATCATCTTGAATAGGAAATACACACTAGGTAATTATGTGCTTTCATGCAAACCAAGTTAACATTAATTAAAATATTGTACTAGTCACAAGCTCACTAATCAGTTAATTAGTAGCTTTGAAACTGTAAGCTCACTTATTCTTACCCAGTGCCTAAGAATACTTAAGACATCTTTCAAAATCTGTGACAATGAAAGAAGCACTCCCCCAAAACATGTGTTGGACATTTACAGCTCTAATCCTCATTTAAAGAAAATACACCAGTTTGAACTGTTATTTAACTGGTGTTTACTAAGGAACGCCGTATTTAAATCGCACACCAGTAACCAAGCTACTTTTGGCATACAAAGTCACAAACTGCAAGAAGGACTATTCCCATACTTAACTTCAGTATTCACGTAATGTTGCTCACAAAGTGCTTTGATGGATTTAGAGCTTCAAAGTACAAGAAAAAAAAAATCAAACATTTATGGTTTTGTGAACATTTGGTTCTAAAAAAGGTGATTAAATTACCTTTAATACATTTGCTGTATGTTCTGCCCCCCTCCATGTGAGGCTACATCCTGTGAAGTTTACATATCTGATAGTAGGTGAATTCTTTACACTCTGACAGATGGCTGAAGAAAACAAAAGCGTGCACATTACCTACACACACCACAGCCAGACTATGGGAACACACTTCTTTGCTGCCATATTAGGAAGCTGAATCGCCTGTAATAGGCAAAAGCCTGGACAAAGAATAACTGGTGAAATACAAAGTACATTGTAAATGGATTAAAGTGTTCTAAGATCATATATTTCTATCACAAGTGTTCAGCAAAGACTATCTGAACAAACTAGAACACATTTCAGTTTACTTATGTGAACATGAACAACTCAAAGAATTAAGTCAAACAAATATTATGACTGTTGTTTTGAATAAAAGTATAAACATCATTATGAAGTAGTATGGTTATTTACTAGCATCAAGCAAATGAATTCAAGTTTTTAAAAGTTGTGGTCATGTAGAATAAAGTGAAGATTGTTATTTTAATGACTACAGACAAGTTTAAAACGGGGATGGAAACGCTGAAAAACTCCCTTCTTTAAAGGACTAAAAAAAAGTAGATTTATACATTTTTGAATCTGAACCTACTTTCTAATCCTCCATCTCCAATTGGACAGTGGGCTAAAGAGATACTCTCCAGCGATGAAGTTGTGGCCAAGCCCTTCGGAATAAAAAAACAATGTTTGTTAACTGGCTTGAAAAACAAAAATACAAAGAAAGACCAAGTCACCCAACTGCTCAGTATTCTTTGAGCTCCTACAAGAAACCCAAGGGGTCAGAGGAGAGACAAAACTAGTGAACCTTAAAACTCAGTGTAAGCTGGTTTATTTCTTTAGCAGAAGAGAAGCTGTAGCCTGTGGGCAACAAGCAGCAACCTCCTTACCTAGTGTTGTGGTTTAACTCCAGC